TTTTTTTCTGTCCTCTCTTATTATCATAGTTCTACACTGACACTGCCCCTTATTTCTGCAGTGACCTTGAGTAGAGGCTGAAAACCACTAATATCATGCTGCCTTTCCTCAAAGGGATAGTTTACCCAAAATGACAATTTTGTCATCATTTACTTACTCTCATATGAGTTTTTTTTTCCTGTGGAACACAAAATGTCCAAGCTGTACTTTTCCATACAAAAAAGTGACCACGGCTACAAAGCAAGGTTTTCAGTAAATCACAACTTTGAATTTGAATCATGTTTTTCACACAAATCTTATCATATGGCATCAAACGCCGAAAATAGTGCACAAATTGTGAATACAATGTTTGTTTGTTTTTTACCCTAGACCAGTGGTTCTCAACCTTTTGGACTCTAAACCCCACAGTTGTCCAAAAAAATATTTCAAGAGCCTACACTCCTAGTACAAGCACACAAATGCACCCACCAGACAACGCATGCACAAGGAGGTAGAGAGAGGCCCCTCCCCCTACCCCTGTCGCCTCCCTCTCCTCTAACAATGTCTGTAAACAAAGCGGAACCTATGAATGAAGGAGGAGAGTGAGCGAGGGAATCGAAAAAGAAAGAAACGCAGTCACGCATCTCTCATGAGAAACACAGTCAGGGATGAGAGAACTGAGAAGAGAAAGACATGGACAAGAAGAGGAAGAGAGAGTTAATCGGAGAGGGGAAAAAAAGAACTCACATCATCTCTGTCAAAGCCTCTTTCGTTGGATGTCGATGTTGGTCCTCGCTGCCCTCCCCCTCCGTCTCCCTCTGCCTCCTTCGCTCTCTACGGCATTGCTGGATCCACAATCTACTGCCTTATTCTACCTCTTTCTACAACTCTCGCACTCTTTCTGTCCTCCAGCATGGTAGACTACACCACACCGCTGTTCATTCAGAGCATGTGTGTGATGAAGAGCGTGAGAGAGAGAGGAGGGGAGAAAGAGCAAGAGCGAGCAAAAGAGAGGGAGAATCAGCAGGAAGAGAGGGGGTAAGGAAGTGTGGATATAGTGGCAGAAGGCATATGTGTGCCTGTACAGTACAGTATGTATTTGTACACGTGTTCCCATATCTGTATCGATGCCAGAAAACTTGCTGGCACGTTTTCAGTGTAAGACTGCGCAGCCGTATTCGTGAGGACTCGTTCGGTGAACTTTTACCTGAAATTGTACTGTACGTCCTTGACCCTATTACGCAGATCACTGGCCTATAAAGAGATCACGTGCGCTGGGAAGGGAAAAAGAGAGTGCTGCAGGGTGCTCAGGGACAGGGATGCTGGAATTGTGACACAGTTGAGTTTGCACAGACCGAAGGAAGACAAGGAACAGAGAAGGATGATGCAGAGAGAGGACGTTGCTATTAAAAATGACTCTGCGAGGGAAGAGCAATGATGGAGGTGGTGAAGCGATGCCAGAAAGGACATAGTGATGTGTGGTGTTCTGGAAAAGTGGGGCTGAGATGAGAACAGAAGAGCCAAGAGGTTGGAGAAAGAATAGAGACATCCATCTATCTATCTATCTATCTATAGTGTGATTTGGACAAGAAAATGCAAAATGCATGATGAAAAAAAAAGTTCACTACTACACTACACTTTTTTTTCTTTGGTCATGTCAATAGTTGCAAGATGCTTCTGTATCCATTTATTCATCCGTGCATTCATCCCTCTCTTTCTCTCTCTCTCTTTCCTTTCCTCTTTAGTGCCCTTCATAGTCTGACCTCCAGATGGAGTCACCACGGGGGTGGGAGGGTGATGGAGAGAATATGAAAGAGTGTAGGGGGTGAGTAAAATGGGAGGAATTAAAAGAGAGAGAGAGAGCACTAGGGAGAGTTAGAGTGGGACGAGGGGATGACGAAGCCAAAAATAGAGGGGTGAAAAAAATAATTAGAAACTGAAAACATAGTAAAAAGTATCAATTTGTGCGTTTGTTAGTGTATTTCTACATGTGCATGAATGGGAGCAAGCGAGTGTGACTAGCGAGATTCAGACTATAAATGAAAAATATGATTTATAATGTGTATATTTGTATGTAAATAATTTGCTAGGCTTGTATTGTGTTGTCCTGCAGGCTGCTGGGATTAGATGAGCGTGAGCTCTCTCCGTGACTGGGACAGAATGACATCACATGAAGCAGCTTTATGTTTACTGTGAAGTGCTAATGAAAAGAGCACAGCAGTGTTAATTTACCAGCACACGACTCACAGACACGACTCACAGACACTTAGACAGACTGAGAGAGAGAGCAATATTACAACATGGCTACCAAAAGCAGATATTACAGTCTTGCGAAAAGTGCTTCATTTCATGGGGCTGTCACTTAAATTCAAAGGGGCTGGGACAATATTTTAAGTCCCACCCTTCTGCCTAAGGCCCAATTGAGTAGGCTACACCATAGAGGACCTCAATAGCTCCCCACGTTTCCCCAAGCCCCTGACAATGGCCCTGGGTTGACAATACATTTTATGTGAACCATCCTACAAAAGTAGATTACTGATGATTTAGGGGCCATTCACACAGAATGTGTTTTTGCATTTAAAAATGTGAGATGCAGGGCAGTGGAATGAAAAATAAAGGTCTAGAGATACGGTTTTTAAAAGCTGAACTTATTTTAACATGCGCTGTATTGTTAGATGCGACAAAAGACGCGAGTGCTGTGGTCAAACACGTTCACCTAGTGCATGTTCACAAGAGAAAAACATTGCAATATGGAAAAGCAGCTTACTGAAATGCAAAAAAGGGGGTTTTAATTTTAAATGAATGGCACCTTACCCTATCAAAAATAATAATTAATAAATAAAAAATAAAAAATACAATAAAAATCCTCTTCTTTACAATCATTTGTTAACTTATTTTCCAGTCTTATAATAAATCTTAGATATATTAAGAAAAATATTAAGTGTTTATTGGAAAACAACTAAAACAAACAAACAAAAAAGACTGAAAGACTTAATAAAAAGTATAAAATGCATTATGAAATGGATCTTAAAGGGACAGTAACATAAAATGAAATAACCCTTCTGTTATGGAACATAAAAGAAGATATTTCGATTTTTTTTTTCTCCATACAATGAAAGTGAAAAGCCACCAAAACCGGTTACCAAAATATCTTCTCTATTTTGTTTTCCGCAGAAGAATGAAAGTCATATAGTTTGTAACAAAATAAGAGTAAACGATGACAGAATTTTCATTTTTGGTTGAACTGTCCCTTTAAGTGAATTACTGTACAGTACATCTATTACAGGAACAGTTCCCTGGAGCAACCTGGTAGGACTGGGTGGTATATCGAGTTTGTACAATATATCGATATATTTTTTTATAAACGATATGGTATGAGGCAATACCGTTTATATCGATATACTTACAATTTGATAAGAGCGCATCTGAAAAATAGCAGAGGACACAGAGTGAGCTGCTCTGGGGAAAGTGTATAATCCAGTTCACAGGTATATTCTCCATGGAAATATCTCCATTTTGCTGTCAGGAGTGCATGAGCCTTCTGTATGTGATTATCCGCTAAACTTCACAAGACTTCAGTATGCAAACGCCGCCACGTGTATGCGCCAAACAGCCCGAGCGCAATAATTCGGACTAAAAATATACATTTTGCTAAAATATTTGTAGTTGGACAATAAATGTGCCATGTGTAGAATTTGAAACCTACAAGTAAGTGTATTTTATGATAGCAGTAACTATAAAGTGACTATTGTAATGGGGTAATCAAAATATACTGCAATATGTGATTTTGTTTTTATTTCTTTTCAGTTTTAGTTTAGTGAATTTAACTTCTGCTTTAAAAATAATTATTTTTGTTTTTAGATGTTTTAGATCTTAATAATGTTAGAATGTAATGTGATTTTAGCCCCTTTTTTGCGTAATATATAGCATATAGCCTACATGGTTATAATTTTAAAATATAAAATACTGTATATAAAGTATATACAGTACGACTAAATATAAAGTACTTTATACGACTAAATATAAAGTACTGCAGTTCAATTCAATATCACATTCTTCAGCGTCAGTCTCAGCTATTTAATTCTGAAATTAATTTAACATAACAGTCTCCCATCTGACTTCCAAAACCAGCTTCACAGGCCACAAATATTGAGATACATAAATCACACGCTGGTATCTCCATCTCCATGCCCGTCAGTCTATCACTCACACTCACAGCAGTGCGAGAAAAGGTGCCAAGGCCTCCTCAGGTGAGTCACTGTCAACGGCAGCATTTCAGAAGAACCAACAGAAAACTCTCCACGTGCTGAACGAAACTCAGTCTAACCCACGAGATGGTGAGCGTGATTTCACCAAGTACAACATGTTCCTGGATCAACATCCTTGTTGATCCTGGAACAACATTCCAATCAATCAATCAGAATTGAGATATAACTTTTCAGGAAATATCTGTTTTAGGCTTACAATCAGGGTTAGGTGCTTCTACACCCTTGTTAATCAGCTATCATTTCCCACTGATTTTAGGAATAAATTAGGGTAGGGTTAGGTTTAGGGGTAGGGATTGGGTTAAGTCTGTATTTTTGGACAATAATGTTGATCCAGGATCATCAAAAGATGTTGATCCAGGAACATGTCTTACTTGGCAAAATCACGGCGACCCCCACGAGACATGCGAGTAGATGATAAAGAACGCAAACCTCTTGACAGTTTCTGACAGTTGTGAGAAAATAATCTGTATGGGAAGAATCTGTATCTTGAAAAGACCAGCATTTTAGACGTATCTTAACTACCTTAACCAGCAAGATTTCCTTTGACCGCAATTTTTGCTGTCAAATTTTTTTGCTTTAATTTTTGTCTTTCATGCTTTAGTGAGTATTTTACACTGGTCCACTAGCTAAATCAGCACCAAACCAGCATAAACAAACTCTAAATTGGTCTTCTTAGCAGAAAGTCCTTCATTACAACATATCAGCATCAACATATCAGCAATGCACATCCATAAATTCTAAAAGTGTTCTTACCTGGGCGCGTCAAAGCTGTCGTAGGATCCAACAGTATAATGTCGGAAGAGTCGCTTGGCTCTCTCACTGCGGCTCTCTGAAAGACGCACACACAACCGCATCCACATCATCATGAGGTTGGGTGTGTGAGGGTGCAACTACAGCATGACAAGAAAATACACGTCTGACTTGAAGTTTCCCACTCTGACAGAGCGTGGTGGCCCAAACCACAGTGAGTTTAGCCAGCGTGAAATGGCACAATCGGTCTCTCTCACACTCCAGTAGTGCTGTAAACTATTAATAGTCATCATAGCTGCTCTCCCTCACCAAGTCTGACATCACAACATCACAGAGATGCTGTGGCAGTCCAACTGTCCAACACCTCCATCTGGGACTATCAAAATGACAGCTCTGAGTGTAGTGTGGATGTCTTTGATACTAATAACGTGTGTGTAATGTATGTGTGCGTGTGTGTGAGGAATCTCACCTGAACGAGGCTCCAGGCTGCGGAGAGCCACCTCCTCAACGCAATCAGAGGGGAACCAGCCTGTGCGCCCTCGAACCGTACCCTCCCAGTATCCTCCTTCACCCACACTCAACACTAAGAGAATCAAGAGAGAGAAACAACAGTGTGTGTGTGTGTGTGTGAGCAGTAAACATATGAAGAGTGTACAGCAACAAAAACACACTATATAGACCAGAAGCGTCATGACCAGACACATTTTTGAGCCAAGTGGATTTTGAACTACCATCTTTCATATTTAGGTTCCACGATTATGGAAGGTAAAAAAGTGTTTGTTTAAAATGCTGTGGCAGAAATCAGTCATTATGTCTGCATTTGTTATGTCCAATCGAGTTCTTCGAGACCTTCCACTGATTACTTACTTGAAATTGTATGACTTGACATTTATGTTTTCATAAAGTTATTTTTTTTCATACATGGTTGTAAACAGGTTTCACATCCTTTTTGATTAATTAATTCTAGAGGTGTGCGATATCGTAGTATTGTGCTACAGTGCACATTCTATCAGTTGCAGTTCTGGCGCATCCGTCTTAAACGCTGTACAATGCAACGTACATTCACATCAAACATTAACTCAGCGGTAGTGTTACACTCACAGGACACTCGGAATCACAAAAGTATATTATTTGCATGTGCTTTAAAGCCTTGCTTGTTAAACATTTCATTTGCGTGCTGTTCTGACATACATGTGAGAAAAGATGCCAAGAAGTTACACCTGAAGTGCGCGCACACTAAAAAGTCTGTCAAACATCACCTTATTACTGGACTAAGTTATCTTTCTCGTCTGATTGTGCCAACACTGTCAAAAACATACAAGGTTTACATATAATCACAGTTGGTTATGTCTAAAGTGAAAGTAAAGAGTTGAGAGAAAAATGGGTGTGTGCCTGTATATTAGATGCGTGCAGGTCTTAAAGTGACAGCAGACTAATAGTACTAAACATCTGTCATTATTTACTCACTCTCATGTTATCCCAAACCTGTATTACTTTCTGTCTTGAACTGAACACAAAAGAAGACATTTTGAAGAATGTGGGTAACCAAACAGTAGCTGGTCCCCACTGACTTTGATAGTAGAAAAAAAAAATACTGTGGAAGTCACTAGGGACCAACAACTATTTGGTTTTCCACATTTTTCAAAATAACTTTTATGTTCAACAGAAGAAAGAAACTCATTCAGGTTTAAAACAACTTGAGAGTGAGAAAATAATAACAGAATTTTCATTTTTGGGTGAACTATCCCTTTAATGTTAATAAAGCAGCAAAACACAATATAATGTGTATCTTTGTTCATATTTTTTAATAACAAAGACAAAATAATGACAAAGATTTTTATTTTTGCCCAATTTGGCCAAAATATCTGGCATTATTTTTTATTTTATATTTTGTTACCTTGTAAGGCTTTGTTTTTTTTAAATAAGGAAATATATATTAATATAAAACATAAAATAAGGAAAAGTTTGGCTGTACTGCTCAGACAACTTGCAAAATAGTAACACCAACATGACAAAGAATCGTGAATCGTGATTTTCCTGAAAAAAATTGTGACATGATATTTTTGCCATATCGCCCACCCCTAATTAATTCCCATGACTTTTATATGATTGTTCCATGTACAGACTGCTGGGAAGAATGTCAGACACAGTTCTTGAAATTAACAGATTTAAAACATTATACCTATTTGTGTACAAATCTTTAAACCTAAAATATGGTCTCAGATTTGAATCAAGCTCAACCTGGCTTTCTAAACCAGAGAAATGTATATTGATAAATTTACATTCATACCTATACACTATCGTTCAAAAGTTTGAGGTCAGTAAAATGTTTTTGAAAGAAGTCTTGTATGCTAACCAAGGCTGCATTTATTGCATCAAAAATACAGTAACAATTTTAAATTGCTTTGCTTTGATGAATAGAAAGTTAGAACAGCATTTATTTGAAATATAAATTATTTCCAACACTATATGTCTTTACTGTTGCTTTTAATCAATTTGATCAATGTGTCTTTGCTGAATTAAAGCATTAATATCTTTCTAAAAAATTACTGACCCCATGCTTTTGAACTGTAGTGTATTTATATTCATATAGAATTTTTCCACAACTTTCAACATTTTACTATATTTCTCAGGCCTGGAAATGACAGTTTCAAAATTCCTTAATATTTCCAGTTTTTTCATGACCATGGGACCCATGTATAGCCTAAATTGTAAGAAAAAATATATATATTTTTATAATATATTTAATCTAGAGATGGATGTGGGCCCCCTGCACACTTAAATAATTAACCATCAAAACTGTTTTTCTTTTTCTTTGGTATCATCTTATACCCCTTAGGGCACCAAAAGAGCTAGGACCGCCCCTGGTACCCCTTAAAAAACATAGGTGCATGACGCTGCTGATACACACTCACAGCACCATCTCAGGTACACACAAACAAATTTAATCACAAATCGCATGCGAAATCACTATCACTTATGAGTTTACTAATACATGATGAAACATGCATATAAGCAAGCTATGGTGACAGATCTAAACATGGACTCTAGAATTAAACACACACATACACACACTCGCATGCACGTTGACATTGCTCGCAAACAGACATATACTGACATACCAACACATATCACCAGAATACATACACAGACAACGTTTATCCACACCTGTGAAAAACATACAGAAACAAACACACATTTAATGGTATTCTTGCTGACATATATACACTCACTCTCACACAACACACACCATTGTTCCTGTCCACACAGAGACACACACACACACACACACATCCATTCACCTTTGACTTTGTCTCCCTTGTTGAAGCTGATCTCGCGGTCCCCCTGGGCGGAGTGCGAGCGGGTGGCCACAAACACACGGCCAGGCACGGCACTGTAGAGACGCCGCCGCTGCCCGCTTGCTGTGCCCTGACTACTGATAGAGCCCGCCCTGTACAAAGGTACACGAATCAGACAACAGGGTTAACATTCATTCATTTATGCACATTTATTACCGGCTCTACTCATTCAGGTGTCCGTCTTCACAGGACGTGAATATTGATGATGATTTAGGCATAGAGTTCGCTGAATGACAAGTTAACCTTGTCCTTTCTACTCTCTTTCTCACCCTTGTCTTCCTCGTGTTTGCCGGCTCCGATCGTCTCGGTCGCCTGTTCGACCACGAGACGGGGAACGGGTTCTTGCTCCACGGGGACTGCTGGAGCTACGCAAGGTGCCACCATGCTTTAGACCCTGACAGATACACATAAACACGACGAGTAACAATTAAAGTTTGAACATAAATATGAAGCATGTCAAACAGAAGGGTCAAGGTTAGCATGGCCCAGTTAGCCCCTTAACTCCCATGCTAATGGATAGCTTTTATGAATTCAAATTTTAAATGTATAATTTTCACATTTTACATATTTTTGCACATAATTCATATTTATTTAAACAATATTACCATTAAAAAGTCTGGGGTCAGTAAGTTTTTTAATTGTTTTGCAAAGAAAATATGCTCTCCAATGCTGCATTCATTTGATACAGTAAAAACAGTAATTACTGTGAAATATTATTACAATTTAAAAGAACTGTTTTCTATTTTAATAGTTTTTCAAATGCAATTTATTCCTGTGATGGCAAAGCTGAATTTTCATCAGCTATTGATCATTCACAAACTGATTTGCTGCTCAAGAAATATTTCTTATTATTATCAATGTTGAGAACAGTTGTGCTGCTTAATATTTTTGTGGAATATTTTCACTTTCACTTTGAGCAACTTAATGCATCCTTGCTAAATTTACAAGTATTATTATTAATTTATTTTTTTAAACACCTTACAGACCCCAAATATTTGAATGGTAGCATTTACTCACATATAAATAAAATTTTAGGGAAAAAACTAAACAAAAAACTAATTTACCTGCACAGAGACAAGGCTTGATCCAGCAGCGTTGGGGAAAGCGATCCAGTCTGGCACATTCATGCTGTTGTCACTGTTGGCTCGCAAGAAGGGATGAGGATGGGGCAATCCAAGAGTACGAGAACTCTCCCTCCTCTGGGGGGCATACTTTGGAGACTCCAAAAAGGGAACTGACATCAAATCAGGAGAGAAACAGTAATACAGAGAGAGACAGAAGTACGCTCTAATTACCCAATAATGTCCTGCAAAATTCACTTCACAGGGTATTTGGCCATCTTAAGTGTGCAATCATACACGTGGTCTGTATTCAATGATGTTGCAAAGCATTACAAATGAAGTGAACTTCAACAGATCCCCTGCTGAGTGTGTAGGGAGCAGTGAAAACTGCTTAGGGGCTGTGTGAATCGCAAGGCAGCTAAAGAGAGACGAAAGTATCAAGCTCCAAATGTCACACAGTTTGAAGAGCAAATAAATTATCTCACACAGAATAAAAATACCAGCACAACCAAAATAAATCTCCACTTCTTACCTACGTCTGATTCACGATGGTTTTTAATGATTTCTCCCAGCTCAAAATGGCCAGACATCACAGCCACCTAGAAAAGAAGTTCACACACGCTTAATATTTGCATCTGTGAATGACACACAGTGACGCAAGGCTTGGGAATATCGCAATATTAAACACACGCAGGCATTAACTTCCTTTCATATTAAACACAAACGCATGATCACAGTCACAGCTGGCTCTGTGGAGATGGCTGAGGTTAAGTAAAACTCGTTCGGCTCGCAGCAGCTTCACTCCACCTGGGACTCGCAATGCATACAAAAACAATAACACACTACAAGCTACAAAACAGCAAGCAAAATGTGTCATTTCTGTATCGTTAGCATCAACAGACTGACATGCAAAAATAAAAAATGTTTACAAGCACAACAAAATACTGATAACTATCAAGAATTTGATATATATAAATATTTTCATATGATTATAGAGATCATCAAAGATCATCAAACAGACGTGTACAAAATAAGCTGGCAGAATCATGACGTTTACATAATTTTAGACATTATTATTATCATTAAACTAACTTATAGTCATCGCTGCATATCAAACTGAGATGGGAGGAAGCATTTGAACATCCAAAAAAATACATTCTTCACCTTTAAGTTAACTTTAACTACATACATAAGGTTGGAAGAGGGTTTGTAGAATTTAATTATTATTATTATTATTTTTAACCTGTTAATAATATGCACAGCGTTGAAAAACAAATAACAATCTGCAAGTGTCTCATAATTACCTGGAAGGGGGTCTGCCCGCTGTTATTCTTTGTGTCCTTATTGGCTCCTCGATACAGCAGAATGCGGGCACAACTCTCCTAAATGGTGAAATTAGACAATAACAGCCTGAAGACATTGAAGCCATCTAATGCTGGCCATAAAATATAACAAGCATTATACATCATACAACTTTAGTACCCCAGTAAATACAGCACTTGTACACAAAATAATGAAATCTTCACAGTGATCTTTAAAGCATCACTGGAAAAACCATGCTGGTGAAGAGCATGGCAATGCTTGACCAGCACCAAACCAGCACTAGTCAGCACAAACCAGCCTGAAAATTCATGCTGGTGTAAGACAGATATTTTCAACATGAGGTTTTATTATTTGGCTTGATTTTTTGTGTCAGGACCAGCAGTTATACCTTGTTATATAAAGCACATATGTGCAGGGCAGTGTTTCCTGAGGCATTCTGGGATGAGGAGTCTGCACCATAAAAAAGCAGGTGCTCTAAGTGTTGAGAGTTCCCATTTTGACAAGCCTGGAGAAAAAGAGAGAGGTGGGGGGGACAAAGAATGAGAGGAGAGGAGGAAAGAAAAAAAAGAGAAGGGCAGAAACAGTCATTTGACATGAGGAAGGGAAGGGAGGGAGAGAAGAATAGATTTTATACATTGTCAGAACAGACACCTTTGCTAATTAACACCACATGTGTGAGTGAGAGGAAGAGAAAGAAAGAATCAAAATAGATATGGAAACGTACACATGCACAGAGAGAGAAGAAGGACTGAGCAGTGATTCCCAATTGGTGATACTTGGAAGAAACTCAAGATCGGATTCTTGAACTTGTCTCTATTGCCTTTATGTTTGTAACTTCTGTTTGCAACTTGTTTAGCTTTGATGATTATTAAATTCCACCTTAAAAGACTGCAAATGACTTTATTTTTGTTAAACATTCCACCAGGCTTTTAGGATTTTTAAAGTCAAATTCCCTGCAAGGGCTTTCTCTGAGAAAGGCAAAAAAGCTTAAGGTGATTTATTAAAGGGATTAGAAACTTAGTAAGTCTGTTTTTCAACCACAATTTGACTGTTTTTAGTTTAAAAGTGAATCATTGTAATAATACTCATTTTAATAATATTACTGATAATGCTAAATGATATCTAGTATAATTTGAGTCAAAAAAGGAACACAGTTTCTTGTTAGTCTCAGTGAAGCAGAGTACAGTCTGTGAGGGCACAAAATAATACCTCAAAAGTATGTTTTTTTTTTTTTCAATGTTTTTTAATGAAGTTTCTTATGCTTACCAAGGCTACATTTTTTTTATTTAAACATTATTACAAATTTAATGCATGTATATTTGAATGTATTACTGTATATGCTGATTTAGTCCTCATGTAACTTTTGTTAATATTACCACAGTTTAATTAGTATTTTACAGTTATTTATTATTATTTCAGGTTTATTTGACAGGGACAATGCACATCAATAATGCATAAATGTACAATGTGCCAGAATTAGCCAGAAGGCTATTTTGCATCTGCAGTCAAAAATACAAAGAATTAATCAATACATAATACTTACATACTCCAAAATACATATAACATTCACACTATTCCTAAAAAAAACAAAAAAACATCCGCTTAAAAGTTATACTATACATAGAACCAACAAATCAATAC